GTAATGGCACGGTTCAATAGCTGTGGCACTACCTCAGTGCTGTAGTGTGTCATGACATAATGAACAACGGTATAGTTTTTGTACTGCAATCCACGCTGCTTCCATAATAAATTTTACCATGAAAATATGGGTCAAGTGTCCTCACTTGTATTGACTCCCCATCTGACATATGACTGACCAAAAACACTTGATACAAAATATAAATCAATTTCAGCAAAGCAGGACAACCAGTAAGTGGCACCACGCTCAGCCTGTTTTCGGAATCTACAAAGCGTAGCTGAGAAAGATGCGAACACATTTTCCACTTCCACCGTTATTCAACATGGTGCAGCCATCAGGCTGCTTTACTAAAGAATAACAGGAAAATTTTACATGTAGTGAAATGACACTGCAAACATGCTGACCTTGCACAAGGCTGGAAACATGGCAAGTGCATGTAGTTAAGGTTGGATGGACAAAATGCAAGGATGTCATGAAGCCGCCAGTGCACACAAGGCCCATAATAAAAAATATCGTAAAAAGCCATCCGAGACACCAACAGCAATACTTTTCCACCTTTCTCAGCACCCAGCATCTCACGCAAGTTGCAGCGACTATGAAATTGATGACTCACGAGCAATGCTCGCCTGCGTAAAAGAGTTGTGAAGACAGTACATTGTGCATCAGTAATAATGCAGCTCTATATTTTCAGAACTTTTTATGGAAAGACGATTTTGGAAATCCATAGAATGTGAGCCCATACCACCAACGTTTGACAGCGTTCCTTCGTCATGTTCAAACACAAACATAAATATAGGGGCAGGTATCAATATATCACATTTTATTGCGAGCCAGCAGACTTAAAGAACACCAAAACAATGTTCTTTCACAGGTACAAACCTCGCGCGCACACTCCTCATCACATCAAGATCAATACAAGCCACTGGCACACACCACCAGTGATCACACACATTTCAAGTCCCCGATTCACACTCTTTTGTTAAATTAGTGTTATCTCGCACCTGCACATTTCGCTGAACTATCAAATTGCAGGCTTTCTCGCAATTTCCGCACAGATTTTCCGTCATAACACCGCATTTCACCGTGACCTCCCTTTAAAATAAAGTCCCAACGGGTGTTTATGGTAATGCAGCTGAAGAGGTTCCTTTCAGAAGAGGAAAAAAACGCCAGCAGGGGAAAAAGAGTTGCCGTCGCGTCTTCTTTTTTATAACTTTCGGGAGAGTTCCTGGCGTTCTTTGCCGTTCCGTTCTTTGGGTGCCGTACTTTTTTACAGATAGCGGCCTTCTTCTTTTATAACATTGACCCGTGGCCTAGAAAGAGGGAAAAAATGCTCCGTTCACGAGTGCCCCACGACCGGAAAGTGATCACGTTTACGTTTGCGACACGCATTCAGCAACGAAATCTTACTAACAGCCAATCATCTTCCGCGCATTGTATCATACGTGTCGCATCATCGCTTTTGCGATTGTACCAGGGGCCATGTCGTTTTGACCATAAGCAGAAAACAGCCCGTAGTATGACCGCGATCGTATGACGTTTATATGACCTCATGAATGCCGAGGCAACTTCGAAATATGCTCCAAATAAACCTTTTCGCACTTATGCGGGCGTGTAACTCAGGAACCAGATCGTTTTGGGTCTTAAAAAGGACATGACCGTAAACTGCATCAAAAGGTCCTCAAGATCGCTATTTGAGTTCAAAACGCCATACAAATGTGGAGCATTCCCTTCAATCTACATGATTGTATTTCTTTAGTTACGCTACTCAGACTTGATCTATAGTATAGTCATCGCCATTCCCTCACTAACATCACGTTTCCTGTCGAGAGGGTCGAGCTGAGCTGCAGCCTTTTGACGCGTCCGTCACCCGGTCCTGGCTCGCAACCAATCGCAGAGATTTTGCGCTTCAAACGTCTTCAGCGACAGAACATTCTTGGCCGTGGCCAGTCGCCAGTTACGGCCCCTCATGGTGAGCCGACTACCCGCGAGCCTGCAACCAGCGTCCTCAGAGCGAGTCCCCTTCTCTAAATCATACCGGCCAACGTTTGTGGAATAACAAAGCTCTAGCCGGCGCCATTCCGTCGGTATTTTATTTGCACTTCATTTCGCGGCCAAGCTCCAACGGCCGGTGACTCAATGCATGACAACCAAGCGAGGTGTGGGGAGAGCAGTAGGCGTAACAGTGAAGACCAAGCCAAATTGGGTGACTTGGAACAATCCCAAATTCTACGCGTGTAAAAGGAAGGGGAGGCACAAAAACAAAAAAAAATGCTTTAAATTAAACGTGAGGATAAGTTGTGTCATATAATCTTGACACCTTTAAGTCAAGTATTCACTATCTTCAGCAATAACTCCATTAAGTGTGGACGTTAGCTCCAGCGTGATGTTCAGGTTCTTCAGTTATTAGATGAGCGGTCTGACAGACGGACCAATTTGCTTCAGGTTACAACTCGGTCAGATTTTAACTGCGATGAGGTTTTGATAGAAAGGGCAGGTGGCAAATGTAGCCCCAAGGCGATAGCAGCAGACAAAATATCCCGTGCTGTGCCCAGTTGAGCACCGTTCCCATGTTGCAACATCCTCGTTTCGTTTCTAGCTCTCACTTATCACCAAAGGCCGTTTCAAATCGCCATCCATCGGTGAAACTTGCAGCTTAGGTTTGCAATGCCAGTGATGTGCATTTCCAGTTTCAGTCTCCCTTCCCCGGTCCCCCTTCCGTTGGCGGTCCAGCACCTCTGTCGGCCCAGTCGCCACTCCGCCGCCGACTGTGACTTCGGCTCCTTCGGCCCGGCCGCGCTTCGAGCGCAGGCACGGTCGACGCCACGCGACGCCACGCGCGGTCGGTGGCCGCCGCGTCGTTCGAAGCCGTTCGCGGCTCTGAGCGGCAGCGTTTGTCACAGCTACCCAGAGCCGGCTCTCTGCAATGTGGCACGGGTCCCATCCGCGCCCGCGGCGGCGGGTCTGGTCGCGACAGGTGAGCTGCCGCGCCTGGCCGCCATATACGTATATACCTTCAGCGCATACAGTCGGTGACTACGGCCACTCGGGGCTCGGTCGTCCGGCTCGGCCAAGGCCCGCCGAGCTGATGGAAAGGGTGGTCAGAGTGTGTCAGGGTGCGGATGAACGTGAAATTCAACGATTGAGAAGCAAATACACCAGCCGGTAATTTGGCCGATTATGATGCAGACACAACGATGATACGAAATGATGGTGTTTGTTTCCTGTGGCTCGCTCGCCGGGTGAAAACTCACTGCTCATTGGGTCAACTACTGCTTATACGCATGTATATATATATATATATATATATATATATATATATATATATATATATATATATATATATATATATATATATATATATATATATATATATATATATATAATAGCCGAGAGCCGGCTCTGCAATGTGGCCGGTCCCATCCGCGCCCGCGGCGGCGGTCTGGTCGCGATAGCGTCGATATATATATATATATATATATATATATAATATATATATATATCATATATTATATATTATATATATAGATATATATATATGTAATATAATAATATTATATATATATATATATATATATAATCTCTC